AACATAGGCCGGTTGTCATGGCGTCAAAAAAGCCGTACGTGACCGGCCTTTAACAGATATCTCCTGAACTCTGGGGTCACGCACTAACTTTTCTGTTTCAGGTACCTCAAGAAGACGTAGCCTTCCACTTTTTGGGCAGCCGGGAAATGTCAACCACCTTCACAACTGTCAGGGCTCAAGTTCCCTCAGACCACTATCCACATCCCTGATCCTTACCGTCCAATCTTCATTAACGTCTCTGTTAACAGTCCCCCATCATCTTTAATTTCTTCTAGCTCTTCAGCTTCCTACAACTATCTGAGTTCATAGAACACTACCACGTTCCAGATTACACATTGGAGTCTTCAATTTCCGCACTCTCCGTCAAATTGTTCAATAAGCTTCACTGACCAAAACCTTAGCAGCGCGGGCCATGGGTGTGTGCTCTGTTTGTGAGACGCGCATACAAAACCGAATTGCGGTTATTCACTTGACCTCTCCCAGCCAATATGGTGAACCCGCAAAATTCACCCCTCGAGTTTCTGACTATGCGATAGCTAGTTCTCGTTATCTTGCAGGTGTTGGACATAGCACTAAACACTAAAGCAGAAAGCTCACTACTAGATTGAATCCCACTTGACAGTTGCCTATGCGTTGTCCGGCCTAATGGTACAGAGAACTATGAAGAATAGTGAAACTCGCCGTTGTCTCTTTGTAATCTCTACTTGCGCACCCACCGACTGCAGTTGGGATGAAGTGAAGGATAAGTTCTACCGAGAATTGTCTAGCCCTCTTCTGAAAGCCAAACGTTCAGATGTGGTTGTTGCAGGTGATTTCAATGCACAAGTGGGTAGACTGAGTGAGGCAGAAAGGCACTTGGGTGGCACTTTCAGAATCCTGGCTGGATGAACACATCACGGTGACTGTCTACTAAAACTGTGTTCAAATAACCTTTCACTTCTAGCTAGCACAAACTTCAGAGATAAAGAAAGAATTTGTATGACATGGTCTCCACTGAGCTCAACCCAGCTATAGACGCAGATAGACCACATTGCTATGTCATCTCTCGAGACGACCGGTGGAAGACTTCTGGATCATGTGTTTACATAGCGACCATGCGTTGGTTCGATTGCGTATATGTTTGCGTCACAGTTGGCGTAGGAAAACTTTAGCAACAAGATCATTACGAGTGCAGCTCGACAATAAGAGCATTAACATCGCTTTCAGTGAGAAACTGGTTAGGCAGTTATCAGAACAGAACACTACCACTCATCCAGATGAAGCTTAGTACCATCTCCAGTCTGCTGTGAGGACAGCGTTGAAGACTGTAGCCGACTCTCATAGTGGTTAACAAGAGACAGTGTATTTCAGCTTCTAAATTGATGGATGCACGCGCGCACATCCCTGCAGGCTCCAAATACAATGAAGAGCAAACGCAACTGTAATGCGGACTGACAAAAATCTACACAGTGACCACGAACAGTAGTGGGCAGCGAAGACTAGAGATGGAAAAGGCAAGGGTGATAGTTAAAAGTTTACAGCTATTTAGACTTATGTAGGAAAGTAGAGCAAAAAGGTCAATGGTTAGTGAGACTATAGTGAAGAAGGATGGGTCTGAGATTCACTCACAAGGGAACGATGAGCAAAACACACAGTTCAGCTGGCCTCCAGCTACTAACGCGTTGCCTGCTATCAAATTGGATTCTGAATGGAACATTGAAATAGGCCCCCGAACACTTGCAAAAGTCGAGAAAGTGGTAGATAACGTCAGACGAAAAAGTACAGTAGGATCAGATGGCCTAGTTCCTGAGGCATATACGGACTGGTAAACTGTCAACTGATGTGTGGGAGTCAAATATGATCCCCTCTGACTGGTCTCAATCACTAATTGTCCCAGTTTTAAACAAAGATGAGAAGTTCTCTTATGATAGCCACAGAGGAATCAGCCTAACGAACATAGTGTCTAAGATTCTAGGTTCTATAATCACTAGACACCTGAGTGGAGCTGGGGAACAGCAAACGAAAAAACCTGACAGGCTCCAGACCCGGTTGTGGGTGTGTCAACCAAATATTCACACTCCGTTAGGTTCTGGAACACAGCCAAGCTTACCGACACTGGTTGTATTTCCTGACCTGAAGGCGGCATTCAACTCCGTCGGTCATGAAGTCTTATGGCAATATCTCTTACTAAAGAGTACCGAGTAAGCACATCACCTTATTGAAGGCTGTTTACTCGAACACGTGTGGGCGTGGTAAAACCTATGGTGTGATGTCGGGTGAGCTGTGTTCGTCAAGGATGCCAGCCCTCTCCATTCTTATTCCATTTTATCACAGACGTTCTTATGGAGGTTTTCCTCTCGCCATCTGACTACACAGGAACCGACCTAATCACCAGAGAATTTCAGTAGACATAGAATACGCAGATGAAGGTGAAGACGCTGACAAAATGCAGTCTTCTGGACACCTTGAATTACAATTTGAGAATATTTGGGATGCGTTTTCACCACCAAAATGTAAACTATTGCTTCATGACTGGTCTTCAACGGTGCCCTGGCTAACAATAAGGAGTAGAGTGGTTTAACGCGTTGAACACTTCACTTACCTGGAAAGTCGGATCAACCCTGGTGCGTTGGTCAATGGCTGACGAAATCTATGCGCTGATAGAAAAGGCTCGGTTTGCTATGGCCAAATTAAACCATCTGTGGTGCTGCCGCGATATCCGTTTTTTATTAAGGGTCGAGTGTACTGTTGCACTCTACTGTGTTCTACTGTATGGCTGCAAAACAGCACTAAAGGTAGAAGATATGAGAAGGCTTCAGGTGTTTGACCACCGTCGCCTCCGTAGCATAAGCCGTGTTTCGTGGTGTCACCACGTGAGTATCGTTGAAGTCAGGTGTAGAGTTTTAGGGAGGGAAAAAAGATTATAAACCTTCATCGACTGAGATGGTTGGGACATGTGTTACGTATGCTTAGTCACCGATTGCCTCGTCGTACAATGTTAACCGAAGTAAGTTCAGGGTGGGAAAAGGCTCGAGGCTGCCAGACTAAAACATGGCATAAATGTATGAGGTGTTTGACTGTTGGTTTGAGCCATGTAGGGTGGGGGGGGGGCGATGCAGACTAGGTGGTTGGGGTCTGTGGGACAAGAGGAACCAGTGGTGGTTGGAGACTGACTCTTGGTGATATGGGTGAGAACCGATGTCAGTGACGCAGATGTATCCTCATCTTAATCGCTATATTTAATCTTATCATTTTCTCACTTCTCCCTCCTCTGTTTTACCACCTCTAACTGCTTTAACCGATCACTTTTTCTTTCTCCATCTTTCATTTTATTGGTTTCTTAGTTGTTGTGCTGATATGAGATGTGACAACTTGAACCGTTACTCGGTAATGTCTGGTTTTACGTTTATATTGATGATGATGATTGTGATGCACACGATTAACGTTCTAAAAACTACTCGATTCTCGTAAAATCTGATGCATTACTTATGTGTAATTAGTGTAGTATGTAAACTAGCTAGTTTGTCTTTTCAGCTGTCAAATACACAGAAATGTGATTTATTAACTTTAAGGCAGTGCATATAGGTTTCAAACTACCCTGCATCTTATTCAGTCCAGATAATCATGATGTGCAGCATCTTATAGCGTAGTTGGCTAGTGAGTCGCTTTAGATTATTATCGTTTTTGAGTATAATGTCTAGAACTAAGGCAAATTTATAATATGTGATATAAAACGACCTCGTAACAACCTGTGAATGTAACTAAGCGTTCATTTCAGTTGTTTGGAACTGAATGTACAATTAAAATCCTTTTGAAAGTCAGCTTTCAAACCATAGGTCTTATATTAATATCTTGCGAAATTACTCACTGGTGTACGCCAATCTGGATCACGTGTGGTATCGTTGAGACGCTAACGCTTTAAGAGGTCAGGTATACAACGGGTCAGTTGGTGCAATTAGGGATTTCATGGACTGATGCCAGGTCTTGGTCTTGGTCTGGGCATCCTGAATCCTCTTCCAATGTAATCCAACTTCCTTTAGCATAGCACATTGAAGTGTGTGGTGGCTCGGCATGCGTAATACATGTCCTAGCCGTCTCAGTCGACTAAAGTTCACAACCTCATTCATCGACTGACTTGCCTTTCTTGCCTAGTATCCTTCATCTGGTCTCAAAATTACTCACACGATGATTCCACTGAATGTGATCAATGCTAACCGCTCCATATCTACTTTCAACGGCCATGTCTCAGCCGTATAACAACAGGATAGAGTGGACTGCAGCGCAGTATACTCATCCTTTGATAGGAAGACGGATATTTCTCCAATCGGCACCGTATGTGGTGAAAGTTGGCAAACACCAGATTTCGTCAGCAACCAACCCAAACGAACTTTCGAGTGATCACGATAGTTTGGCTTTCCAGGCGTTTTTTTTGGCGATGATAATCTTAAAGCTAAGGGAACAATCGTTCTTCGTCAAAAATTAAGTGACTGTTAAGCGAATGGGATTCAACACCTTACATTCATTGTTTTTATAGTATATTTCGTCATTCGTTCAAGCATATCGGAATACTAATATTATCATGTTGCTCTTACTAAATGGCTTGTTCGATTGACTATTCACACTGGTTGTATTTTCGTGTTAAAAATGGAAAACATTTTCCTGTTGTCTACATAAATGTTGATATTGCGTGACTGCCATTAAAAAAAGGCTTTGATCAAATCTAATACGGTGTGTCTAAGATGCACATGCATACAATTTGTCTCTTGATGATTCATCTATTTTGGGGATTGTTTATGCACATATATATGTGTGTAGTTTGGCTGCTAACCTTTTTCTTTTCCACTCTCTATGATTTTACTTGCTACCATCATTTTTCAGCGAACAATGTATCTATTTCGTCCCATTTTACACTTCATTGATTATGTGTAGTGTAAAGTGTTGTTCACGCGTGTGTATTGGTTCACATTTACCTATATGTGTAAACACACACACATACTTGTTTCATCTTCCGTTTTTAACATTCAATCTATGCTTTAGTCTGTGTGTTTGTCTGTATACATGTTTACTTGTGCTATGCCAATTTTTACCCTACTATGTCGCCACATCGTAGCCAAATAATAACATTAGTCCATTTTATTCAGTGATATGGATTTTAACACTTAACACACCAAGGTTACACTAATAACAATGGTTTTCAGTTCCTGTAGGATTTCTATTGTTATCCTCCTTTCATGCAGGATATCTGTTGTTTGAAACAATCCCTTTTATGAATTTCAATAACGTAATTAGAAGATGAAGTTTATCTGAACAATGTGATGTATTTACGCAATACACATTTCGAATAATCTCATCACACACTTACTTGTCAAGTCAATAAATATTAAACCGAGGACTACGGGGGACAAATACAACAATTAACACAATAGGGGATTAAAATTAAGAAAGATAAGAACAAAAGGGAAGTGACCTAGTTGATGCTAATCTAGGTAAGAAAACAAAGTTTACCCAGGGGTAGGTGTAGTGTAAGAATAAATTGTTTTTGTACACAATAAGGTGGTTTGAATTTGTATATGGCTACCGCAAATCTCAGAATACGTCCCTGACTGTTTCTATGCTGTTTGAACAATAATTTTGTGACCTGTTTCTATGATATGTTAAGCTATAGATGAAGAGGGTCATCTCCCACCAGCGTTTATCACTGTTTCACACTCCATTTGTTTTGAAGCCATTTAAGGCACATGTTCTCCCACCGTCAACTGGATGACTCGATTACTCCTCCCAATGTATACGTGTAACCACACGCACATGTAAATTGGTAAACATAATGGGATGTGACGTAATCACTGATACAGTGTTTAGGTTTTTGGTGAAGTATTTGTTTTGTTTTCTCCACAATGGTAAGATTCGCTGCGTATTATGTTTTCTTAATGGCTGATCTCAGCCTACGTCTCAAAATGAATGGAGGTGAAAAGGAGTCACTTGAGAATTACTCTTCCTAAAATGTTATAGTTTACCATTGCGATATTCAATTCCAGTTAATTAGTTATATAACCTGTCCAAAAATGCTCAGTATATTTCACTATTTGTCAGTTAAAACAAAATTTATTTGTGATACAAATTCATAGACTAAATATTGATATAATTAGAACAAAAATAACGGAGGTATCATGTTTCGCATAGATTTTTTATGAATCCACTGTTAGTGTTGACGTTATTATTTCTTTGGGTAGTATAATTGTTTTTATATGATACCGTCATTTATTGGACCGAATTGATCGGTCTCTATTGTCATATGAGTCCTGTACAGCGGCTGACGAGTCCCAAATAGGATGAAATGTGCATCCTGGATTCCACTGCTAGCCACGCTCCATCATTAACATTTTTTTGGGTACATTGAATTAAAGTCGACATTATCATATGATAAAGTGTTGTGCATAAATACCAGTCAAATGAAGAGAAATTTATGCACTATTGTAGAGTATTCATGTAACGCAAACCGTTGAATGACTTTGTGTAGTCAAACTGTAATTGTAAGCTAATCTATTGACTAATATGCTATTTAAAATGGATCGAACTAAAGAATTTTGCCATGTTTGAGTGACTGGTTCATTGATATTGGCTAGCTGATCATATTTTCAAGTTGATAGACTACTCTGTCTGTCATCATTCTACTGTTCTCTGATTCTGTGTTTCATTAGTAGAAGTGTACAACTTGGGCACTGTGGTAAGATGTAATTCCATACTAGATTTGTTTATTTGATTTGTCATACACAGTGAGATAGTATTATTTATTTGATGACATTTTGAGCATAAATTATCATTACTCGAAGATTCACTAGTCAGCGCAAAGACCTAAATAAGGAATTGAAGCACTTGAAAGAAGCGTTAATAATTCATAATTGTGCTTTATCGTTTATCAAGAAATTCTTGCGAGCAAATAAGGAATGAAATAATAACGGGGCAGCCTTGGTAGGTTCATACATGGTGCGGACATTCCATGTCCCCATGTTTACTTCGCTTTCATCGAGAGAGAGGTGACACATCGGCCAACTGGCTTCCCGAAGGCTTTCACCGACCGGCGTCATTCCGTCTCTCCGATTTCAGTGAGGAATAAGCTTGTTTTATGTTTTATATTTTCTTTGTGCTTAAAAGTTTCTTTAGCAATTGGATTGGTTTTACGGAATAGGGTTGCTAGCCCTATGTCCAACCTTCCCTCTTTACCCGGGCTTAGGACAGGCTAATAACTAGTGAACTAGTTAACCAGGCGACGTTAAATAACGGTAATACAAGCACCAAAAATAACGATAACACAAGTAGAGAGGAGTTCACAGCCTTCATTGTGCTATCTTATAAGGAAGGAAGGAACATCAGAAACTTTATGGAGGATCCTCAACTGAGCTGGAATTAAAGTGGCATTTAAACCTACAAACTCACTCAGCGATAAGCTTTGTTGGCTGGTTTAATTAAAGATCCGATAAAACCAAATAACCAAAATCATATAATCTATCAAATTCCATGTAATGACTGTGAGGTAAAGTATGAAGGTGAAACTTGCCGGTTGGCGTCAGTTAGAATAGTGGAACATAAGAATTTAGCTAATTATAGAATGATAGACTCTGATAAGATCAAATAATCTAGAAAGGAACTCAGCTTTTGCAATGGATGCGTTAACATACAACCACACAATAGGATGAGATAAATTCGCTGTACTTAAATCTGATGTAATTTGGGCGGAGAGAGATTGATTACTGAATCTTTGTTCATCGAATTAGCCAACACTTACACCAGAAATATGGAAAATGTTACTACCAATAAAAGCAAAGACTATGAAGTGACAGAACTATAAAAATCGATTGTTGAAAGTGATATAATAATGTGAGCAATAGTTTATGCTTGAAATGTCATCAAATAATACTATATTACTATATGTTATATACCAAATAAACAAACCTAATATAGTATTCAAGTTTTCGTGTTGTTTTGAAGTTAAGAAAGATCAGGAATGAACACCTCATACTAGCTTACAATTTAGCATTAATATACGCATCATAATGTCAAAACCAGGATCAGAAAAACAGCAAGACAGGCCTTCATTAACCTGAAATCAGCGTCGAGATCTACTGCACTCAGCATAAAGCGTGAACAACCTCCGGATTTTCAACATCAATGTCAATTCAGTGCTGCTATATGGTTCAGAAACTTGGCACGTCACGAAAAGCATTTCCAACAAACTACAGACAATCATCAACAACTGCCTACGCTGGCTCAATACTGAAGATCAGATGGCCAGGAAGAATAAGCAACAAAGAACTCTGGGAACGAACCAACAAAGTAGTGAGAACCTATCACCCAACAAATATGCCATAGAAGAAACTGGAGATAGATTGGATTGGGCATACACCCTACGAAGGCGGATTGGGGATATCACGCGCCAGACCAGATCTTCGAGTGGAATCCAAATGAGAAAGGACGAGTTGGGCATTCGAGGGCGACATGGAGGAGATGTGAGGAAGAAATGAAAGGTTGTAGGCAGTCGTGGCTCCAGGTTTAAAAGACTGCAGAGAAGAGAGTGCAATTGAGGCTTGTTACTGAAGCCCTATGTTCCACTAGGAACCCAAGGGAAAAATAATAAATAATAATAATAATAATAATAATATGCATCATAACATCCTAGCCTGACTCAAATGTGGATAATTAAACCTTGAAATCTGGGCAGAAAAAACATTCCCTATTCACATTTTCATCACTAACACTGACCTATCTTAAAAGCCCAAAAAAGTGGAACTTCATACTTAACTCTTTGACTATCATGCTCAGTTTTAAATTACTTAACTTTAATTATTACAACTTAACAGGTATCTCTAGTTATAGCTTCATTGGTTATTGAGGGGATACCTATTTCCAACTCTTAAAAACTTGAAAATCGAAGAAACATTTTAGAGCCTTCTCATGTCAAAAAAGTTAACAAGCAACTTGTTTACTTCTGATTAGACGTTTCAATGTGCCATTTAAGAGTCATTCTAAGACGTCGAAATTTGTTAGTTCCCTCTTCATCAACTGCTATTAAGTATACACTATTTTTACAGATTGAGAATTTACACTAGATTTTCTTCCAATGCTGTTTCACGAATTTAATTTAGACGTTTTTTTGAGGAACAGTAATGTTTTCCAACATACATTTATTTGGATGTTACTATGAAGGGTGGCAACTTGAAATAATGCACTTCTAGTCAAGTTATATGCTGATTATATTTAGGATAGCAGTAGGATTTAGAACGTGCGTTTCGTCTTACTTGGGACTCGTCAGCTGGATACACCTGCTTCTCAATGAGTTCTCATTGGTACGAGCAACAACATAAAAACTATATCCCGTTGCTCAAGAATTGGCTATCGGAACTCGGGGAGTTGGTGGATAACGCTCTTGAGTTTGAAGTGATCGGTCCAGGGTTCGAGTTCTGGTGGGAATGACATCGCTCTCTGGGGCACATATATCTTCCGATGACGAGTCCTAACTAGGACGAAACACGCTTCTAGCTGAGTTCCATTACTATAAGATTGAAAGGAGAGATAATATGAAGGCACCCGAACAGGAGCCCTATATACCAGTAGAGACCGATCAATTCGCTTCAGTTAACAACGGGGGATAATACAAGCAATAATATTTCTTATTTTCTTCATCTCTTTACATTTTAAGACGATTCATTCTGACAGTATCTCATTTGTTTGCTTCATTTGCTTACTATCTGAACACCCCCTAAGTTATCTAAACCTACTTACAACTATTCTTAGCATTTTCTTGTCAGTAGTGTAGGTTAAGATTGAACAAAAAATAAACTTGTTTAATTCTTTTCAAAATGTAACCAACGAAATGTATGACAAGTGTTTACACTAGGCTTGAACATCCACACAAGTTCAATCATTTAACACCTTGTATCCCTTTCATATTTCAACAATTGAAATTGTGTTTTTTTAAATCTTGTAAACGCAGGTGAATTCACTTCGAATTCCAAGTTTCCAGTTTGTTTTCTTTATGGCTATCTATAAAATTAATGTCATCACTTGTATTAACTACCGTCGTTGATTGAATCGAATTGATTGGTTTTTGTTGGCATATGGGTTGCTGCATGAATGCCTCGATATTGCCCTTGGGTTTCGTCCGATTTGTGACTCGTCAGCTGGATGTACCTACCTCCCACTGAGTTATGTTGTTCCCACTGGAATTCAGCTGATTACATTGGTTTTATAGTTGTTTTTTTTTGTTCTACGGTATATTTATGAACGATAACGATTGAACAATGACTTCTCAACACGATACTCAGTTGACACCAGAAGAAGACAATGGGATTAAAAGTTTATTTACTTTAACCAAGTGGTACGACTATAGCTGAAAGTTCAATCGTTTGCATACTTTTTTAAGAGCCTTGACGAGGGAAAACAAAATATTACATAATCAAAGTGTAAAATGCAGCAAACAGCGTTTAAATTAGTTGGGTTTTTTTTTCTCGTCATATTGTCTGTTAAGAATCCTTTTCTATGTTCATCTCTCATCTAATTTAGCTGAGATCATTGAAAGTTTATATGGGAACCTTTTGTTGTTTTAAGAAATGCAATGTATATCATTGTTGAAGAGTTTAACACTTGACTGTTTGTTGGACCAGGAGATAGAATTCTGTATGACACTGTATCAATTCAGACAGACATAATGTCTCACAATCCATTGAGAGAGATATAAGCAAACATTGAAAGATAATTTGACAATAGTCAGTTGAAAATTCAAAGGTAGATACACTGAGCAAAGAGTGATTACTTTTAAACTATGTAATCACTTATTTATAACAGTTTGGAAGCCATTCCAATAGAGAATGCACTTTCTCATTTGACTAAGGTTGATGGACCGTGTATAACATTCTAAAATGTTTATTAACCTATTCCATCTGGTAGCATCATGTATCAAGATCTTAGCAACTTTAATTGACTGATACACGATCATCTCACTGTAGAGGTTCCTAATCTTAAAGAACAATATGTATTACTTACTTGAAAGTTACCACTGCTCACTTTGTTGTTTCACCACATACTAGCAATGCTTCTAATACGTGTATAGTCGTCTGCTCATTGTCCTTTTGTTTGCTGTGAAGGGATTACTTACCTACCATATATCATAATAGAGATCGTGTTTAATATTGCCTCTCAGTTATTACAGATGAATTAGGTTAGTCGATTCCAACAAAAGATACTGTATGAAGCGAGGTGAAGTTTTATTCACTAATCATAATAATGGCTTTATTGTGTAAGCTATTTCGAAAATACTCTACAGAATTTTCAGCATGCTATACACCATCATTTAAACAGAAACAATATTCATATATGCATAACAAAATGAAATAAGTAGAAATTACATAGTAAAAATCATCATCAATATCAACATAGGACCACGCATTACTGCTTAACGGTCCGAGTTGCCACACTTCATATCACTACATCAAGTAAAAGGGTAGTGAAGTGAAAGATGAAGATAAGAGAATGCAGTCAAAAGAAATATAAAGTATGAGAAGAAAGAAAGGCAGAATGACAAAATGGTGAGAAATGGTACAGTGTTAAGATGAAGATAATGTGTAAACATCTGGACCAGTGACATCGTTTCTCACCCATATCACCTAGAGTCAGTCTCCAACCACCACTGGTTCCTCTTGTCCCATAGACCCTAACCACCTAGTCTGCATCGCCACCACCCTACATGGCTCAAACCAACAGTCAAACACCTCATACATTTATGCCATGTTTTAGTCTGGTAGCCTCGAGCCTTTTCCCACCCTGAACTTAATTCGGTTAACATTGTACGACGAGGCAATCGGTGACTAAGCATACGTAACACATGTCCCAACCATCTCAGTCGATGAAGGTTCATAACCTCATCAACTGATTTTCCTCTACTCCCTAAAACTCTACACCTGACTTCTGCATTACTCACGTGGTATGGTGACACCACGGAATACGTCGTATACTTACTAGGAAGGCAACTGTGGTCAAACACCTGAAGCCTTCTCATGTCTTCCACTTTCGATGGCCATGTTTCACAGCCATATAGTAGAATAGACCGGACTGCTGTACAGTACACACCACCCTTAATAGACAAACGGACATCACAGTGGCGCCATAAGTGGCGTGCTTTGGCAAAAGCCGACCAAGCCTTTTGTATCCGTGCAGAGATTTCATCGGCCACTGACCAATTCACCAGGGCAGGGCTGATCTTAATTCCCAGATAAGTGAAGTGGTCAACACACTCAACCACTACTTCACTCTCTATTGTTAGCCGTGGCACCACTGAAGACTAGTCCCGGAGCAAATTTTGCATTTGGGTGTTGAGAACCGCATGCCAAACATTCTCAAATTGACACTCAAAGTGTTCAGAAGACTGCATCTTGTCAGCGTCTTAACTTAACAGGACTATGCCATGTGCATATTCTAGGTCTAATGAAAATTCTATGATTAGGTCAACGTCTGTGTAACCAGATGACAAGAGGGAGCCCTCCATGAGAATATCTATGACAAAATTGAATAAGAATGGAGAAAGTGGACACCACTCGATGAACATAGCTCTCTGGACATCTCACCATAGGCTGTAACACGCCTGCAAGTATTCGAGTAGAGAGCTTTCACTAAGGTGATGTACTTACTCGGCACGCCTTTGAGTGAGAGATATTGCTATAAGACTTCTCGATCAACGGAGTTGAATGCCGCCATCTTCAGGTCGAGAAATACAGCTATTGTCGGGCGTCGTCATAGTACATGCATGTACTTGTTTCTTGTCTTTCCTGATGACCGACATGGAGACAGCTTTGAGTGAAGTGATAAAATAATTCTTGACAGATGTTTACATGAGTAAATATGCTTGTCCATTCGTTCTTCTGTGACAATCTTCAACGTTCTGTACAATATAGCCTAGAATAAGAAAAATGCATCAGTTTATAAAACACAAAATAAGAGACTGCGTTATACCAGATAAGACTTTCAGTTTTCTAATTCTTTTTGAAATTAGTAAGATATAGAAGTACCAAGACGGATCTGAACTAGAATTTATATAGCCATTTGAAAGGATTCCACTGTAATCGTATTTGTCAGACTTGAATATGGTTGTCAGTGAAAGTTGTACTATGATTGCAATTATATATGGTAGGTAAATGTGAACGTGGATTATGTAGTTTATGAAGAATCTAACTATCCCAACTGAATGAATATATTCAATGATATAACTATGTCATAATGTCATTTTCTTATTATCTGTAGACCATTTGTCAAATGTTTTTTCCCTGTATAATATATATATATGCATATATTTTTAAATATTTTTTTTTGTCTTAGGAAAATACTTTTCATCCGAACCATAGAAAGCTAACAAATTTCCAGACGAAAATTATTCATCAACAATAATTTGTTGTATATAAAATCACATATGATACTAAGCTTCTTATTCATTAATTTGTTCAATACATTCATTGACAAGTTCATCTAACGACGATATCAATGCTTAAATTATTGATAGAGTCATTTTTCCCCGCTGATAATTTATCATTACTGTTATTCTTCCTTCATAATAATTAAATAAAATGAGCATTTCAATCCAGTCTGGATGTCTTTCAGTCAGTCTTTTATCCTCCGTATTACTTATTCATCTATTGTTCAAAACAGCTAGCGCCAGTTTGCAGAGTAAGTTTAATACAATCTCTTCTATGGTCTTGTTTATTTTCTTTTATCGTACTATATATATATATATATATATATATATATATATATATATATATATATATATATATATATATATATATATATATATATATATAATTATTTCTTCCTTGGGTCCCTAGTGGGACATAGGACCCCAGCAGCACGTCACCATTTCACTCTCTTATTTTTTTGACTTGGCTCCATGACTCCCTGGAAGCTTTCATTTCTTCCCTATACCAATCTCCTCCATGTCACCGTCGGATGCCCAACTCGTCGTTTCACCTTTGGATTCCACTCGACGACCTGGCCTGGCACCTCATGTCTACAAACCATCTTCTCAGTCTATGTCCAATTCAATCCATCTCCACTTTCTTGTTGGGCGATAGGTTGTTGGTTGGTTCGTTGCCAGACCAGAGTACCTTGTTTTCTATTCTTTCTGGCTACCTGATCTGATCTTCAGTATCGAGAGAGCGTACGCGTTAACTGTTGAAGAATGATTGTAGGTTGTTGGAAAGACTTTTCCGTAATGCTCCAAATCTCTCACTCATCACATGGAAGCACTGACGTACTTGACTGACATAAGTAGTGTTGAAAATCCTGATATTGTTCACGCTGTATGCTAAGCGCAGTCCAGTGAAGTAGATCTCCAAATTGATTTCAGATTAATGAAGGAAGGCCTGTCTTGCTGTTTTTCCAATCATGGCTGGCTTAGACATCGTCATCTGTACCTGTTCCACCATCTGTAGTTCAGACGATGGTGCCTGGATAGGTTGTTAGGTAGGTAGGTGAGAGACACCGTTTAGATTTCTCCCGTTGATAGTGATTGATGCTTTTTGTTGTTGTGTGTTGGGTATCTTCATCACCTCTATCTTATCTGCCTTCACCTGAAGGAAGTACCGTCCTCGCTGTTTCGCCTCTTCTTCCAACTTGTTACTTTTCGACTGTAAGTCTTCGAGTTTGTGCGACATAATACATTAGATATAAATCATCATCATCAGTGAAATCCAAATCTTTTTCTAGGGTCTTTTCACCGGTCAAACAGCCAGCGGATGTCCATCTTCTCACAGCTCACAGTTGTTTCTCACATGATCGAATTTAGTGGAGTAGAGTCCACCACAATCAGGAAGATGAATGGTGATAGTAGGTGGTAACCTTGTCTTACTCCTGTCTTCACTTCAAAGGCGTCACTGAGCTTTCCATTGTCAATCACTTGGCATGTAGCCTCGTCATATAGCTATTGAATGAGGTTGATAAAGGTTTGTGGCACTAAAACAGTAGTGTTGAAGCAGCTGTCAAATTATATATATGTATATATATATATATATATATATATATATATATATATATTCATATTTGGCGCAGGCGTACTGCAGTTTGGACATATTTACAGATGTGTGTATGCAAACTTAACTTATTAGTTAGTTCCCTGGAGCGGAGTTCTAACTCGTCACTCATTGATTAACAGTCATCTCTCTAAAATACTGAGCCTCACCTCCATTGTATACATTTGTTTTTTCTTCAGTGTAATCTGTATAATGCTTTAAATTTCTTATCTTAGCCAGACAGAGAGGAGTATCAAAGGATACTCGATAGACGGTATCTTTCTAAGTTTTTGTGCTTCTCAGAAAAAAAACAAAACAAACAAATCAACGTGAAACCTTGCACAGAAGCATATTAGTCCAATTTTAGTCTGTTTATTAGAAATATCATACAGTGAAGGAACAGTATCATTTACTGGATAACAACTCAGACACAATTAATTGTCCACATTCATATCAGGTAACTCAACAACTTCGAGACGGACTTTATATATTCCTTATTTTCTCTCCTTCTCTGTGATGACAAGGGTAGTAGAATTTTCCACATATCTGGGACAAGTGCAGAATCATTTCTACTGCTGCATGTGTTTGGTGTTGATTCGATAAACAAAGATTCGGTTATCGATTTCTCCCTCCACCTCCACCCAACTAATTTTCAACACTGTCGCCCTACCCCACCCTACTGTGTGATTGTAGATTGAAAAATCTGCGACAAGAAATTAGACATATCGAGAGTAATGGAGAATATTTGTAGCTCAGGTGGATAGTCTTGGTTGTTTTGTGTTCTCTGAGCGGGTTTGTTTAATCGTGATTAAACAACCCAGCTTCATGGACTGTTGATGGTTCGCTGTAATGGTAGGGTAAGCATGTTGATGTTAGGGTAGATGTTACTTTTTGGGGTTCGAACTCACTTGTTGAAAACCATCTACCTAAACCGATGAGCCTTAGCTCCTTTGACCGATGTCAGTCATTATGGACTGATCACTGCCATCGAGGTCATGGATACGCACTACTGAGGAGGAATCACAAATTAGAGCGAAACAGCTGTCCAATACTCCCAAGCTCTCATTGGTTACCCCAACTGATGTCGATCCATTATGTAAATCCCTTTGAAATCAATAAACCTACCACAAATATGTAAATTAATTATTGTATTGTCATCTCATAAGTTGAGTTGTAACATTCTTGTTCATGTAGTCATAGATTTCGAATGACTAGTGCAATTCGCTAATTACATAGATGTTTCATATTTACTAGATTATGAAACATCTGACTTTCGATTGATTAGAGTATATCCTGCTTCTGACGCATTTGAAGACATTCTGACAATCTATGCCATGGTTAATTTTCTAAAATTCTCGTTACACAAAAGTGATTTCCTAATCTAAGTCATAAATCTTATCCAAGGTGTAGTATTCATAGGATGACATGGTCCTGTTAGATGAAGAAGCTGATAAGATACAGAGTCTTCTGGACACTTTGAGTGGCAATCTGAGAATGTTTGGGATGCTTTTCTCATCACCCAAATGCAAATTGTTGCTCCAGCTCCGGCTAAAAATAGAGAGTGAAGTAGTGGTTGAGTGTGTCGACCATTTCACCTACCTGGGAAGTGGGATCACCCTGCCCTAGTGGCTGACGAAATCTCTGCACGAATACAAAAGGCTTGGTTGGCTTTTGCCAATTTACGCCACCTATGGCACCGCCGTCATATCCGATTGTCTATTAAGGGTGGTGTGTACTGCACAGCAGTCAAGTCTGTTCTACTGTATGGCTGTGAAACAATGCCAGTAAAGAGAGAAAATATGAGAAGACTTCATGTGTTTGACCGCCGTTAATTTCTTAACGTAGGCCTTGAGTAACGCAGAAGTCAGGTGTAGAGTTTTAAGGGGGGAGAAGAGGTAATTCAGTTGACGAGGTTATGAACCTTCATGGACTGAGATGGTTGGGACACATGTTACGTATGCTTAGTCACCGATTGCCTCGTCGTACAATGTTAACCGAAGTATGTTCAGGGTGGGAAAAGGCTCGAGGCTACCAGACTAAAACATGGCATGAATGTATGAGTTATTTGACTGTTGGTTTGAGCCATGTAGGGTGGGGGGGAGGGAGGCGATGCAGACTAGGTGGTTGGGTACTGACTCTAGGTGATATGGGTGAGAACCGATGTCACTGGTCCAGATGTTTACACATTATCTTCATCTTAACGACACTATACCGAATCTCACCATTTTGTCATTCTTCCTTTCTCTCTCTCTCTTTTCATACTTTATATTTCTTTTGACTGCATTCTCTTATCTTCATCTTTCACCTCACTATTTTTTTACTTGATGTAGTGATATGAAGTGTGGCAACTCGGACCGTTACTCAGTAATCCCTGGTCCCATGTTTATGATGATGATTCATGGGATGTGAAGCGAGTGCTTATGAAAGACATTGGTGTATAGTAATACTTTATTGCGAATTAACAATAGCAGGAAACTGTGGTTCATTGAACTCTTACCCAGCCGGTCAATGGTTAGCTCGTTCGCTGTGAGATCTGAATGTTCTGATTTCAATCCTTGTTGGTGTGGGTCTGTTTGCGTACACAACTAATGAGGCTCACACTAAGTTGAAATAGTTGTTCAATGCTTCTAGGTTTTTAATTGATGTCAGTCTGTAATGATTTATACCTTGAACTAAATAAAATAAACATTAAGGACAGTTTTCTTACCTTTTTTTATTGTTTTTTCCCTCTTTTTAAAAATAGTTATACCACAGTTTACAGGCCTACCTCCTTCTATCTCTCAGTTCGTATATCCTTCAAGTGATGATATCACTTTTCCCCCACTTGAACTTGTATGTCGAGCATGGCCACCTAATTCAAAACTGCATATTCTGGCTCAACAGTCGACATCCTCAATGTTAACCGATCAAACGTATGGTTTAAATCCGATTGTTTCAACTTCACTCATCGCTGGGAATCCTAATAATAATAATAATAATGGATTAATACATCTCCCTCAAGGTCTTGGTAGTCAACGACATGCTATACTATCGGCTTCACAAATCAATTCTCATCATTCAAGCTCAGATGCCAATTTACTGAACACTAACGGTGGTGGTGGTAGTGTTGGTCATCAGTTTGTAAATCCACTTATCATTCATGAGACAGCAGCAGATGCAGTTCGTGATAATCCTGCAGCTGGACCTCATGATGAAGTTGCTATTCGTCTCATAGTATCAAGCCAATCTGAATTAAGCCAAATGGAGTTGATGAAACTTCATTGTTCAGTTTCTACTTCATTTGGTCGTAAATTAAGTTCACCGTTTCGTGTTCTACCTGCTAGTAAGTTTTTCTGTTTTCTTTGTTTATAAGCTGTAATAATTCTACTTATTGTATTTTTGAGATGAATGGGGATTTTTTTAATTTAGAAGTAGTATTCATCATGGACTGACATCAGTTGGGGAACCATTGAGAATCTGGGGGCACCGGACACCTATTTCATCCAACTAGTATGGGACCGGTGAGCAGTACGCACCTACGACTTAGCTAGGGATGGAACTCAGGACTTTCAGGTTTCATTGTGAATGCGTTAAGCATTCAACCACTGGATCAGTTTCCAGTGGTTCACAATTTCCAACTTCCGGCGAAACCTGTAGGTCCTGAGTTTGACCACTAGCAAGGTCGTGGGTGCGTAGTGCTGAGGAGTCCCACACTAGGACGAAACAGGTGTCCAGTGCTGACAGATTTTCAATGGTTCCCCAACTGATGTCAGTCCATGATGAATACTGCTTCTAAATCCTACTTATTGTTTGCAATTTGTTCCCATGTTTCATGTACTATAATTAATTTACAACGTAATCCAAGTTAATTGTGTCCACTGGTGGTGGTATGTGAATTCAGTTTCTAAAACCATAAATGTATAAGTGAATAAATTTTTCTACTGTGGGTGAGGTGAAGACGTCAACCCCTAACGTATGGGATGAAATTCAGCGACTATAGTTTAACATGACTAAGACGCTATTTGAGTACTGAGACCGAATCAGATGACTTTCTTAAGAAGACCACTTGAAGTTGAATTCACAAAATAGTGGAACAACATCAGAAACTGTATTCTCTACTTGTTACAACAAATAGCCAAAGTAGGATTTGTAAACTATTCTTTCTTCTTGGATTTCTTTTGGGAGTCACTATGAACTGTTAGTTTGAAATGAAAGTTTTCTCATCTGCTAACTAGAACATCCTGTATCCACCATCTCAGTGATAAGCTTTAGACTTTCAATTTCTCATGAAGTCTATCTTCATTTTACGATGATGAATATATATTTTCTCTCACTTCTGTGATAAAGGTATATTTTATATTTCAAATATAAACCTGGTAGTCGCTGGTTCGAATCCGGCCGCGGTCCATATTTTCATCTCACCTTCAATCATCACCCAGTATAAATATAAACTTGTTAAAATTGGGTAACAAGATTTGTATCATAAGTATGCTGTAACAACAATGTGGAAATAAATAAAAAAAGGTTGGAACTTATCATGGACCAAAGTCAGTTGAACCACTGTTTCGTCCTAGTACGCGATTCCTCAGCAGTCATGACCGGCGGGGCCAACTGAGCCTAACATGAGGATAGTTGCTCAAAGATGGCGTTGGGTGATGGTCACGCTACATCATAAATTGCCAGAAGTAGGAAATACGGGGCACTGAGTTTTGACACAGTAGCTCAGAGGTAACGTGCTTATCGCAGAACCTAAAGACCCTGGGTTCGACCCCTGGCGGGTCGTGGATACACACTACTGAAGAGTCCCATACTAGGATGAAACAGCCATTCAGCGTTTATCCAACTGATATCAGTCCATGATAAATACCAACCTGCAATCAATGAGACTTTAATTTCAAGATGAAAAAGATTATAAAGTAGTAAGTTTTATTTTCTTGTCTTGAACTGTTGAACTCGCATCTTGCTGGGAATTTTATTAAGTTTCAAGCAAAATGTCTTTCACAGTTATATCCAATGGTGTTAATTGTACTTGGCTTTCGAAATAAAATGCATTAAAACAGTTCCATAAGAAAATCGCTTATTCAATTAATAAATAGACTAGGAAGGAAGAATGGAGCGAAATTCATAGCATGAAGGGTTCACTTCCTCCATAGGGCATGAAACTGTTACAGCTTTCGGGGTAGAAAGGTTATCAATATTGATTCTACCATGAAGAATGAACGTTCGGCTTATTATTATTATTATTACTACTATTATTATTATAATGATAAACACTACTGTTTTAATTATAATAATTATTACCATTATTATAATTATTGTCGTTATTATTATTATTATTATTAGAACACAAACATGGTGCAGGAATGGCACCAAGAAATGCCTCAAACAAAATAGTATAATAACATTGTGAAGGCTTAAACGATTAGAAGTGGATTAGTCAGAAGGAAAAACAATAAGAATAACATGATTCGAAGGGCAGTCCAGTAAGATATATTCAAAATAGCAGAAGAAGATAGAAGGAAGTTACAGCTTGATCGCCACTAGTTTCCATTCTGACCAATATCAGATAACGTCTCAAGGCACTGAGTTGCCTAATTTCTCGACCCCCTCTCATGGAGTCGTGATACACCAACAGATGCTAGTCCGATACAGCTATCCTTCATCCCACGAAGCCACGTCATATACTGACCATCCCTTCACTTCTTCCATCCAGTCCCAGTCTTAGGGCTAACAAACAATAAACGTTGTGGAAGCCGCTGAGACGACATGCATAACACATGTCGAAATCACCAAAGCCAATATTTCCAGATGACTTCACTCACTGGATCACGATCTCCATCATGCCCAAACACACGTTGTGGTACCCCAGAATTACTAACATGGTGTTGCCACCAGATTCGAGCGATCTTATAGAGATAACGATGATGGAACACGCAGAGTGGTCTCACATCCTTAGCCCAGGTTTCACAGGTGTCGAGCAGAACTGCTTGCATGAAAACGTTGTAAACGCTACCGTTAACGTTCAGGCTGACGTTGCGAGGGCGCCGAAAGGTGACCCAGATTGGTTTATACCACTCTGACTTTCAATATACGGTTGGAAATTTCACTACATATACCTCAACCAGCACTCATACAACTACCCAGATAAACGAACTTTTCGACTACTTCAAATGGCTCACCACCGAGAGTCAATGCAGGCACAGGCTCCTTCAAATTCTGCAAAAGTACTTTTCACTTTAATGGTTTAAAGCATGAACCATACTTACGGACACTAATCGCCAAGTAATTAAGTGGGACTTGTGTAGCCTCCGTCTTATCACACTGTAAGACGATATCGTTGGCATATCCAAGATTGAATAGCCGTTATCTGGGTAGTAGATCTATACCACCATCACTTACCTCTTTCAAAGCTGTCTCAAGAATTCCATCGATGGCAAAGTTAGAGAGGGGTGGGAAATCGGGTGACCGTGCCTAACACCTCTGCTTATTCGGAACAATGGAAACAGGTGGTTGTATGTCCCCTCACTCTATCTGAGGTGTTATTATACAGGGCTTTCAAGCTGGTAATAAATTTCTAAGGCACACTCCTCTCCAAGAGACAATTCTCGAGTACAGCTCTGTCCAATGAGTCGAAGACAGCTTTAGTGTCAAAAAACATAACGATTTTTGGCTTCCAGTACATCTGATGATATTTAAGCATCTGGGGGAGGATAAACACATGATCAATGACCTACGGACTATGAAAAAGTATCTGTTAAAGTTGGAAACTATGCGAATGCTCGATGTATTTCAGCATTGTTGCCCTTGTCGAGTCGGCAATGTTTTGCGTAATGAAATTACTATGGGAGTAGCGTAGATATTAGTTACAAGTTTTTTGGGTAAGAAAGGTAAGTTGGTTGATGAGGTTGTGAGTCTTCATCGACTTAGATGTTTAAATCAAGTGTTACACATCCTTCGTCACCGCCTGCCTTATCGCCTAGTCTTGACTGAAGTGGGTTTAGACCAAAAAAAAGTGGTGATCAGATTACAACATGGCATCAGTTGACTGATTGACTGTTGGTTTATGCCAAGTTGAGAAATGTAGGCTTGTAAATTGGGATCCGCGTTACAACGGAAGTCATTGATTTGGGACTCTATATCGAATTTCATCATTGCTTCTACTACTACTTTTGACTACTTTCTTATTTATATATCATTCCATCTGTGTAACTTTTAATTTCATATGCAAACCGAAATGTTACACGGTATAATGTCAGGTCTCATACTGATGTTGACTGCTTGATGCCTGCGATCCCGATACTCAATTTTTTTTTTTAGAAAATCAACTTAAACTTGTCATCGTATTTGTTGATTTATATATTATCATTACGGATATTATTTTCGTCTGTTTCCCTTCATTCTTATTGATTCCCTCTCCATGTTGATTTTATTGATACAGATAACGTCAAATGAATTCTAGACCCCATTGTTTTATTGTTCATTTCTTCTCTTAACTCCCTTCATTAGTCTACACATTTTTTCATTAGAAATCATTGTTATATCTACATGCTTTGTTGTTGGTTTTACTGTTTCTAGGTTTAGGTTCATTTCCGTCGTCAAGGGATGCTGGCACTTCTTCATCTCATACTGAGAATGTTGAATTTCTTCGAGGAAATATAGCAATTGTTGATTGTTATTTACCAACAAACAGTTTTCCAAAACCTTTAATTGAATTTGAGTTGAACAACACCGTCATTGATCTCACAGGTATGTAGCCACTTTTTTTCCCCATACTTTTAATGTTTATGTATTTTTGAGATGAATGGGGATTTTTTTTAACTTAGAAGTAGTATTCATCATGGACTGACATCAGTTGGGGAACCATTGAGAATCTGGGGGCACTGGACACCTATTTCGTCCAACTAGTATGGGACCGGTGAGCAGTACGCACCCACGACTTAGCTAGGGATGGAACTCAGGACTTTCAGGTTTCATTGTGAATGCGTTAAGCATTCAACCACTGGATCAGTTTCCAGTGGTTCACAATTTCCAACTTCTGTCAGTTCACAACATAGCGTGACTGTCACCTAAGGTCTTCAGTTAACATCCACTTCACTTCCGATTGATTGACCCCACAGGTCACGGCTTCTCATTAGAGCTTCCTGATTTTCGATGGTTCCCCAACTGATGTCAGTCCATGATGAATACTACTTTTAATGTTTATGTTTATGTATGTATGCATATGTATGTACATATAATTTACTTCTGAACAGCGAAATCCAAACTTTAAGCGAATATGCCAAGTTTAAGGATAACACTTTCGGAATGATGTCTACCGAGGCTTAGTTTTAGGATACCTTTAAAGGTCACTCCAGCAACTGATAAGAAAACCAATTACATTCCTTTATTTTACGGGAAAGTATTTTTCCAGACGAAATACCAAAGCCCAGTTGGTCATTTCAGTTGTTGCTGGGGTCGTCTTTAAAGTCAGTCTTAGTTTGAACACTAAGAAATGAGATACTACCGTATTCATTGAGAGGCTGAAACTATTTCGAGTAGGACTGATTTTCTATAAAAAATGAAGATAAACCACAAAATGATTCGTTTTGTGTTTGTAAGTTTATACTATCTTTGTTACTAACTAATCTATCCCAGAACACTCTCTACAGCAGTTCAGTTAAAGTTGTTGAAAATGAAATAATTCCAACGTCGTTGGCGCGAAAGTGATGGGGAGTAAATACAAATAAAATAATTAGGGGAGATGAATATGAATTTTATGATGCATCTCCATAATATATTCAGCTACAAATGAAAGAGGCCTGTTAAAACTGTCTACTTTCGAGCCTATTGAGATGCATGTTTCCAACGTCAATTGGATGACTTGAGAACTCCCAGTGTGTATGCGCGACCACATACACTTGTAGGCTGGTAAACACAATGGAGTTTGACGTTGTCATTACCACACAGATATAAGGTTAGATAGAATTGTAATGTGTACCGTTCGCTGTAGTAGTAGTAGTGTAGTGGGCGTTGCTGATAACAACGGATATAAGTAGTATATATCGAGAGGGTGGCAGGAATCATAGGGAATTATCAGCAATGGGTGAGGTTTCTGCCAAGAGCAACGCAGGGGACAACACAGGCGTATTACAGGGGATGCTGCTGATAAGAGTGTATAAAGAGTCGGTCAAGAGCAAATCAAGACAGGAAGGGAGAGGAAACCAAGACATTTGCAAATGGCTGCGTTAGTGCAAGGAGTACCATATGTAACCACTACCATTCCAATTGTTCATAAGAAACATTCGTCGAGTTGTCTTTTGTTTCTTCAGTAGTAGTTAGGTCAATTCATAAGCTACCCACTGCCGGTGTATTTTGCTTGTGTATTCCTTGCATAGTATATTTAAAAAAAGGAGCGGATATTTTGTTACTGGGTTGTAATTAAAGGTGAAATAGAAATTTGAATCGCGGCGGGATTCGGACCAGTGACCTCCGGGTCTCCGACCCAGTGTTCTACCAACGGAACTACCAGGCTCGATTACTGACCAACACTTTGATCTCGCTAGAAGGCTACTCTTCAAGAAAGAGTATAATATTGAATAATATTGAATCAAGTTTGGCACCGAAGGTGATCTTTATGATAATCTAATCAGATCGTGATCCTAGAAATTCGGATCTAAAATAAACAAGTGATTCTCCAAAACACTCAAGTTATGCATTAAATTACAGACTTTGGATCATGAGGTGTATCATTGGGTTAGTTGCTATGACAGCAACACCGTACAAAGAAAGCGTCATCAATACAAAGAGCAAAGCTATCTCCAAAACAAACTACAAGGGGATATGAAAAATGCGCGTGTTTTCCCACAATATTGTTAAGATACAAGATGAACAGTTGTTCAAGATAAAATAGAAAGGATATGTGTGTCAAAAATGGAAATACACTCTGTTACCTTGTACACATTTATACAGTAAGCAGTATTTGTTGTGTGATAGTTAGTGATACTCCTACCTGGTTGCCTAAACCTCTTTGGATGGAACGGAGTTCGAATCGGTGACATGCACTGGTTAAAAGTCAACTGAATGATGAAAGTTGTATGGCTTAGATCAATAATTCATAGGTATACTGGCATGGAGATCGAGAAAAAAGTCTAGTCTGGAGATGGATTAATCAAAATTTACTTTATGCTATCACTTGTATAGTTAGACAGAGATAGATAGACGGTGAATCAACCAATCAATATTATTATTATTATTGTAAACAGCGAACTGTGCATATAAAAATGAACATATTAGATATATTTTCATTTGTTTTCGTCTTCGGTCTTTCGACCCCAATACACGTTACTACACGTCTATGGTGTCTTCTCCATTAATTAGTCTGGTTGGGAATCAATGATCTAGGAATTTTTTAAATGTTAATGTCTGATACTCGATATCCGTGCATCGTTAGTGGCTATAACACATAGCAGTTTTCGGAATGATAACGATGGCGACAGAAATGCGATATTAGAAAATGGATTCTTTGAAGTTGGACAATTTCCTCGAACAACAAATATGGATGATTGTGGTACTTATGCAATCCAAAATTTCTGGTATTGATTCATCGCCTATTAAGCCAGTTTTAATACCTCCTTCAGTTGACGGCATCACCGATAGCACTACTGAATTTCACTACGATCCTGATGCCGATGAGACTTTCGGTACTTGGTTCAGGTGTTACTAAGACTACTTCAAAAGGGGTTTTGGTGACCAAGTAGACACGTCTCCTACTTCGAAATTTTGGTGCACCTGAACTCGACCAGTACTGTAACATGATTTCGCCGCGAAACCCACTTGATCTCACTTTTGACGCCGCAGTCCAGACGCTGAATAACATGTCTGTAAAACATCAACGACTGGATAACCTGCTTCGTGATATATATTTTTGCCAGATTCGGACACCAGGATGGTTCTGAAGTACATACAGTTCGCCAGACATCTCATTTTTCCGCATCGGCTTAGTAACTCATACAATACCAACTGACCCCAAAGAAGACAACCCCATCCCCTTGTTCGTATTGTAATGCCTAGCGTCTCGTCAAATTTCGTTCACCTAAACCGCATCGATGCTGAAACTGTAATGCTGGGGGCTATAAGGACGGTTTTGCCGCCAACACGCACAACAACGTTTACAAAGGTTATCCTGCAGATGCCACCGCAGATCCCATTCTCAGTCGGTAGATAAATCTCTTGGCTTGATATCTTATTTTCGCGCTCATGCACCTGCTCACCTTATAAATATCGAAAAGACTACTGATCCCCCCCCCCCCAATAAACAAGGAGAAACTCCCTCTTCATCGGTCAGATAGACGCAAGAAAAAGACAGTGCGGCCCAGTCTGACCACAAATAACATTCTTTCGAAGAGGGAAGTGATATGGGGATAGAGAGAAATGGCTAGTCTGGAGATGGATTAATCAAAATTTACTTTATGCTATACTGAAGTTTGCCGAAGCGTTAGCCATTCGTAAACTTAATCCCCCGCTGTGTGTACAAAAACAGTTTGTTGTTTCACTTAATTTACCTTGGTAACCCTTATCTGATTATGTTACCAAGACTAGTGTCACAACCTTTTCATATTTATTATATTTGACCTTTAATTTTCATATATAAATTGACTTGACAAGTAAATGTGTGATCAGATTGTTCGAAATGTATTGCGCAAATACATCACATTTTTCAGATAATCTTCGTCTTCTAATAGCGTTATCGAAATTTATTAAAGGGACCAATTGTTTCAAATTTATGCTATCACTTGTATAGTTAGACAGAGATAGATAGACGATGAATCAGCCAATCAATATTATTATTGTAAACACCGAACTATGTCTTCGGTCTTTCAACCCAATGCATCCATATTATGGAGTGAAGTGTGAACCACAGTCTACAATTGATTCCAGTAAAAGATTGATTATTGGTTCATCTTAACAAGTTTATATACTTGGTTTTTGTAAAACCTACCTCTTAGTATCCACAATAGAATAACCGTTTCAAGGTGTACAAAATGTTCCAGTATGATTTTAGACAATGTATGCAAATTATTTCACTTTAATTTACTCGTTTCATCACAAATTGTCTAAACAGATGAATAAAACAGGATACACCTTCTTATTATCAACGATATAATTTCAAGTTGTTATTCATCGAAGACTGACATCAGTTGGAGGAACAAAGGAAACCTGGGAGCACTGGACAGCTGTTTCGTCCTGGTATGGGACTCCTCAGCAGTGCGCACCCACGACCCCACCAGCAGGGATCCAACCCGCGACCTTCAGGTTCCGCGGCCAGCGCGTTACCATTGATGTCAGTCTTCGATGAATAACAACTTGAAATATTTCCAAATGTCCACAACTCCTTCAAAATTTAATTGAACTAGTGCTTATTGGTGACTAGCTTCGAGAAGTATTCCCGAAGTTTCAATGAGAAGTCGTGACCGGTGGAGTCAAAGCCTGATGGCCGTGAGGACAAATACTCAACGATGACATTGGGTGGCAGTTTGCGCTATATCGTGAGCTAACAGAAGTTGGAAATATGGAGCATTGGATTCTGACCCAGTGGCTCAATGGTAACGCGGTTGCCACGGAACCTGAAGGTCGCGGGTTGGATCCCTGCTGGTGGGGTCGTGGGTGCGCACTGCTGAGGAGTCCCATACTAGGAGGAAACAGCTGTCCAGTGCTCTCAGGTTTCCTTTGTTCCTCCAACCGATGTCAGTCTTCGATGAATAACAACTTGAAATATTTCCAAATCTCCACAACTCCCTCAAAATTTAAACGATATAATTGTGTTTTTTTTGTAGTATACCTACTCCATCTGCATGAATCATCGTTTAAAGTAACATAATGCGCTCTGATTTTTCATTACTGAAAAATCACTGTGATTTATTTGCTTGAAACGTTAACACCTAAATTGTGTTTATTAGGTTAGGTGTGTGTAAACGCTTGAAAGTAATTTTTCAATATTTTCTTTTCAAATTGTCTATTATTCTCTTGTTTTTCAAGTATCCTACATAATAAAAACTTTTGTCTACCTTATAGCTTATAAGGAATGATTTGTATGACTAATGAAGGAGTGTGCATAAGATTTTATGGTTAACTAGTTCACTAGTTACTAGACTGTCCTAAGCCCGGGATAAAGAAGGAAGGTTGAGTATAGGGCTACCAACCCTACCCGGTAAAACCAATTCAATCGCTAAAGAAAGTTCAAAACTTCACAAACGAAATATAAAAACAAACTTAATCCTTACTGGAATCGGAGAGATAGAATGACACCGGTTGATGAAAGCCTTCGGGAAACCAGTTGGTCGATATGTCTTCTCCTCTCGATGAAAGCGAAAGTAAGGATGGGGACATGGAACCTAGCACTATACTAAAGTGGATACATTTTTGTTTGAATACTATCATGAAACAAAGAAATCTTCTTCAATCTCAAAATACATTGAAGAATTTTACTTCAATTTTTGACTTAGTCTCTAGTTCTAAGTCGCGGATATCGTCTGTTTGGACGTTATCGTTATCAGTCTCCTCACCAAGCAGGAAACATCATTTAGCAACGCAACTACTAGAGCAGTCTGTTAACACTTCCTCAAAGCTGATGAGTAAATCTCTTTCTACCAACCATTAGGCTTCAATGTGTCCGAGTTCGCTGGGTAATCGGCTCACTGACCGTAGTTACCTCCCTGTGAGTAGACGTACGTGGGATACACTTCACTGATTATCCATAATCATGCAGAAAGTGATGGAGCATACCTCATAAGGAAAAGAGACTCCTTTCAGGTTATCTGAGAAATACGACTTGGGACTGCTTCAACAACATTGACTACTGGAATCAGGAAGCTGGATTTCCTTGTCTTTTATTGGTCCACTACTCTTAGGGACACTTGGCAGGAATCCTGACAGTCAGGCGACCCGTCATGCTTTAGAGATCTCTGCCACCAATCAGCGCATATAGATCTCGTCAACCGCTCCTACAGCTAAGCCAACTATGACGGTATATTGGTTCGAATCCTTCAGGGTCATAAAGAGGCTTATCGTCGTTGCGTAACTAAGCTCGGTTAGTATTTATTGCCCAAATTAGTGAAATGAAACTCAAGGAAAATGTTCAAGGAAAAGTGGATCTTCGTGATCATTTCAAATCAGTTTAGTGTGACACATGCAAGTGATTTGTGTTTGTTATATGTGATTATAAATTCCTACCAACTTTTATAACAGTACTGACTAGTAATACTCTGTCACACTTACCTTATAGACTAGTAGACTGAGTGTTTTTCACAAAATATCTTGATTACTGATAAGTATGAGCGTCTGACGTTTCACATTAATCTCCTCATTGTGTATGCCTTGTGTATATGGTTTAGTTATTATATTTTTGTCCATTATATTATCGTATTGAATATCCATTTAGTCAACCAGAACATCTTTGAGAAAGATGACTTCTTCTAAGAGATTAACGTTGAAGATTTGTCCAGCAAGAGACATCATAGGAGCGAAATTCATCAACTAATCGCTGTATATAAATTCTTTATTGATAAACCTTTATAATATCCCATCATATAGTTTGATCAATTCTATAAGTGTAGAGAATGAACTCTTCTCTGAACTTCTCATTTTTCAGTTGTTTGCACACTTTTCATTGAAGGTTGTTGTGTTCTACTGTATGGTTGTGAAATATGACCATTAAAGGTAGAAGATATGAGAAGGCTTCAGGTTTTTGACCATCGTTGCCTTCGTAGCATAGTCCATGAGTATCGCAGAAGTCAGATGCAGAGGTAGAAGATGTAAATCAGTTGATGCGGTTGTAAACCTTCATGGACTCAAGTAGTTGAGACACATGTATTACGTATGCCTCGTTGTACAATGTTGGCTAAAGTATGTTGAGACTGGAAAAATGCTCAGGGTGTCCATACTAAAACATGGTATCAATGCATAAAGTCCTTGATTGTTCGTTTGAGCCATGTAGGGCGATGCAGACCAGCTGGTTATGGTCAACAGGACAAGAGAAACTAGTGATTGGAGACCCTAGGTGATATGACTATATAGTGCAAATCTATCGATACATTATCCTCAGCTTAACTGCTTTACATAGTCTCGGTCATTCCCTTACTCCTCTTTCCTTTCTTCTACTACATTCTACTTCTTACGTTCTTCATCCTTCATTTTATTTTTTTTCTTGGTTGTTGTTGTGATATGAGATATGACAACTTGTATGGTTACTCAGTAATGCCCTGATCCTATATTTATCCTGATGATGATACTTTTCACATCTTAATCTGTGCTCATAGATATACAGAGTTTGTATAGTTCATCCATTGTGTATCACTTGTTTATTACTCAGATTGTTTGCATGATATCTTTCTAATGATTATATTATAAGGTGGAATTTCAACCTCACAACCTCATCAATCAATAAACTCTTATCCTTCTTTTTTGTTTGTTTTTTTTTTAACTTTTAGCTTTACATAATGAAAAATATCATCAAATCATTCGACCAGATAGAAAACGAGTTAGTCTGTTAATTCAAAATTTTCAACCTCGTGATTGTGGTATCTATCGTTGTGTAGCAATAAATCCACTGACTAGAGAAAAGAAATATTCACCTGATGCAGTGAATTTAAAGATTATCAGTAAGTTTAAAGTAGTCTAATTTATTCTACTGTTGTTTTTTTTCTTAATATCTTACCTGATCTCCTAGCTGATTACCATGAAATGAAACTCTAGTTCCTTTTATCAATTTTCGTTTCTTTTACTGTTATTTCTTGCTGAATAGATAAAGTTGTTCGTAGTTAAAAGGAAGCCAGGGAATAAGCGTTTTATTATATTATTATAAGTCCCTTGGGTTCCTAGTGGAACATAGGGCTTCAGTAGCACGTCTCCAGTGAACTCTGTTCTCCCCAATCTTTTCAACCTGGTTCCACGACAGCCCACAAGCTCTCATTTCTTCCTCGCACGATCTCCTCCATGTTACTCTTGAACGTTCAACTCGTCGCTTCCCATGGGGATTCCACTCGAGTAACTGGCCTGACGCGTGATGTCCCCAGTTGGCCCAATCCATATCCACTTCCTTTCACTGCATATTTGTTGGGTGATAGGTTGTTGTTTGGTTCGTTCCCAGAGCTCCTTGTTGCTTATTCTTTCAGTAGCGAGTGAGCATAAGCAGTTGTTGATGAATGTCTGTATTGTATTGGAAATGCCTTTCGTAACGCGCCAAGTCTCTCAACCATCACACAGAAGCACTGACTTCACTGAATTAGTGTTGAAAATCCGGATGTTGTTCACGCTTTATGCTGAGTGCAGTGCAGTGCAGAAGATCCCTACACTAGTTTCACGTTAATGAACGCCTGTCTTGCTGCCTTTCCGATTCTGACTGCTTTTGACATCCTCGTCTGTGCCTGTGTTGCCTGTAGTTGTAACAGTGCTTCCTAGATAGGTGAAGGAGGTTACTTCCTTTAAGTTTCTCCTATTGATGGTGATTGGAGTTTGTTGTGGTTGTTGTTGTTGGAGTTGTTGGTGCGGTATCTTCATCACTTCTGTCTTCTCTATATTCACCTGAAGTCCCGTCTCACCTTCCTGCCCTGCCTCTTCTGCCAACCTGTTAGTTTTCGCCTGTTGATCTTCAAGTTTGTGTGACAAGACATGAGGCACAAGTAATCACTGGCGAAATCCAGATCTTCTAGGTTCTTTTCATCGGTCAAGCAGTCAGCGTATCCCCCTCTTCTCGCTCCGCACTGTTTGCTGGATGATCCAGTCCAGTCGACCACAATCATGAATATCATGGGTGATAGTAGGGAACGTTGTTTCACTCGTATCTTCACTTCCCTTAAAAGGCATCACTGAGCTTCCCATTGTGAATTACCGGGCATGTGGCATCTTCATATAGTTGTTGAATGAGGCTAGTAAAGGTTTGCGGTACCCCGTAGTGTTGAAGCAGTTTCCAAATTACCTCTACAATTACTGTTTACGGCAGTAATATGAAGTAATACCTGACATAAACATTCTCGGGTATTAATAATATACAATCTGACATGGATCTATTATCTAAAGTTTATTGGGAGTGATATATTTGGTTTTATAGTTCTGAAGTGATAAATTCGAAAAGGATACTGAATACTAAGAGTTTTTGTCATATGCCTAGTAGTTTTCACTGATGGACAGCGCAAAAATATAACTCATAAACTACATACACTTTCAAACATAGAGCTTATGGTATTGTCTGGTTGTCCCACCTCTTGGTAAGTGAAACAGATGTCTAATCCCTTCGCTTCCCCTACCCATTAGTTGAAAATCGAGCACTTAGACTCGTAAATCGTAGCTTTACTCATCAATATCTGTTGAATTGAACTACTTTGAAACCCATCAGTCTGTAGAAATTTTGTTTTCAAATCTCTTCTTTCAAACATGAATTCAACATTGAATACAAAAATATTCCTACTTGTGTCTATGCGGAGGATAATCTCAACTAAGCTACTAGAATTCATATTTCGTCTACTGTTAGGTTATGTCAAAGGCAAGTTTCAAGTATTTGTTATTATATAATCTGTTTTAATCTCATTCAGTTTGTATCCGGGTGTGTGTGTGTGTGTTTTTCTCACATGATAACATTTTGTCTTTACTAGTTTATCTACTGACTTTTTTTATATTTCTAATCTTGTAAAGTCTAGTGACATTTTAGAAGGAAAAGGAAGCATGTTATCCTTTACAACTTTTGTTATAACAGCTGCTAAACGACAGCACTGTCAGGCATATATATATATATATATATATATATATATATATATATATATATATATATATATATATATATATAAATCGTCTTGACTATCTGAGTCGTTAGCCATGGTTAGGCAAACTAATGTTGATAATGGTTTATGATTGAAGGTGAAGCAGGAATTTGGACTGCGGTGGGATTCGAACCAGCGACCTACGGGCTGAGCTACAAGGTCCAACTACTAACTAGATTTTCATTTCAGTTAAATCACTAAAAGGTTTATACGATTACCATGTGAATTCCCAACGCGCTACTTATCTCTCTTGATTGTACTCACAAGTGGCTGCTTAATCAGGATTTTTCACTCCATCGCTAGTTCGAGTCCGGCTGTGGTCCAATGTTTCATTCCATCTTCAATCACTACCCAGTATATATATATATATATATATATATATATATATATATACTCGCACAATCTATACATCAAAATATGATGCTAAGTGGTGTTAGTAATTTGAATTATCGCCAAATAAGTGTCCTAGAGGCTATATAATATATAATCATAATAATTATCATAAACCCTCATCCTTGTTTAGATTTTTTTATTGTCATTTGATAATTCTATTTCATTTGTTTGTTTTTATCTTCATTGTTTCGTTGTTCTGATGAAAACTAGCGATAAAGATGATGGTTTAAGTTGAATTATTGTGTTGTCAGTGATGATTGATTTCTTCCGAATGAATTAATTCTCTATAGTTTTACAATTATACCTATAAAGAAAGAGGTTAGGGTAAGTGGGTGGGTTGACAAAGTGATCTACAAACAATTACTACTTGGAGTTCTATTGAATCGTGACAAACGTCTACGATGTATACTTAGAGACTGTTTCCGTTGACTTTTGCCATTAATGCCAATGCGCTATTCGAATGCCTATATACCGGGTTAAATCTACCCACTGCTTAGCCGTCTGTTCTGTCGTACCGTATAGATGTAAAACCTGTTCACTTGTAAAACTGGGATTTCCAGATGCATCAAGTAGTAGACCACTATAGTCTTGCTTGTATAAATTGCATATGGTGGAGATATTTAATAAGTAATGTCGAAGTTTATTGTCATTATTATTTGTCCCTTGGGTTCCTAGTGGAACAAACGGCATCAGCAGCACGTCACCATTTCACTATCTTCTCTACACTCCTTTCAACCTCCCTCCACGACCATCCACAAGCTCGCAGTTCTTCCTCACACCATCTCCCCCCATGTCACCCACACCTCGGACAACCAACTCGTCGTTTCCACCTTTCGATTCCACTCGACGACCTGGGATCGCGCCTCATGATGTCCACAAACCCTCTTCTCAATATTATCTTCCATACAATCCATCTCAAATTCCTTCTTATTCTGCATATTTGTTGGGCGATGCGTTCTTGATTGGGTTAGCTAACAGGCAACAGTTCCTCGTGGCTTATTCTCATTATTCTGACCATCCATCTGATCTTCAGTATCCAGAGAGCGTAGGCGTCAGCTGTTCATATATATCTGTAGTTTGTTGGAAATAGTTTCCGTAAATCGCCAAATCTCTCAATCATCACATAGAAGCACTGACTTACTTGACTGACATAAGTAGTGTTGAAAATCCTGATATTGTCCACGCTGAATGCTGAGCGAAGTCCAGTGAAGTAGATCTCCAAATTGATTTCAGATTAATGAAGGAAGGCCTGTCTTGCTGTTTTTTTTCCGATCATGGTTGGCTTAGACATCGTCAACTATGCCTGTTCCACCATCTGTAGTTCAGACGATGGTGCCTCTCCTAGGTAGGTGAAACAAACAACTTCCTTCAAATTTCTCCCATTCATAATGATTCGTGTTTGTTTTTGTTGTTATTGTTGTTGTGTGTTGGGTATCTTCATCACCTCTATCTTATCTACCTTCACCTGAATGAAGTGTCGTCTTCGCTGTCTCATCTCTTCTTCCAACTTGTTACTTTTCGACTGTAAGTCTTCGAGTTTGTGCGACATAATACATTATCATCGATGAAATCCAAATCTTTTTCTAGGGTCTTTTCATCGGTCAAACAGCCAGCGGATGTCCATCTTCTCACAACTCCTCACAGTTGTTTCTTGTATGATCGAGTTCAGTCGAGTCGAGTCCACCACAATCAGGAAGATGAATGGTGATAGTAGGTGGTAACCTTGTCTTACTCCTGTGAATGTTGGAGTTTAACTTGAGGTAATGTGTGTACGGAGTGTAAGTTACTGTCTCAAGTTGTGATTGATTCATACTATCACGATACTGTGTTTCGGCTGTATTAGGTGGTCGAAATGAAAAATGCCATTTATTCATAATCTCCTATTATTAGAACGAATTGTGTAGTGAAGTTTAAACTCCCTGGTTAGAGGTTTTTATAGCAATCTAATGAATGGTTAGAGAATTCAGGTGATGCGGTTTTCAATATATTCCATTTCCACTAGTAACAGCTATATGTTATTGTTCTTTAAGTTGAGATATCATATCTTGCTATCTCCTTAATCTCCTTTTCTTTCCGATCTAATGATATTTAGCAACTTAAAATTATGTTACTTTCATTTCTCTATATTCCACTGGATAGTATATGGGTAACTGATCTGATCAATAAATATGACACTTCTTATGTAATGTATATGTTCCCTTTATCGTCATAAGATCTTGAAATTTTGATAGTTCCCCCATAAAAACAGTATTCACGGGATATAGGTATCAAACTGGGCACTATGGTAGAAATTAGTTCCATATTAGATTTGTTTATTTGATTCATAACACACACACACACACACACACACACACACACACACACACACACACACAGTGAGTGATCTAGTATTATTTACTTGATGACCACGTTTCGAGCATTATTCACTCATTAATCATAATCATACCTCAATGTAATCACACTCCACTTTCGACATCTGATTTCTATAGTTATATCACTTCTTGTGAGTTGTTTTTACTGGTAGCAAAATTTTCCATATCTCTGGTATACGAGTGTTCTATCATTTCCATTACATGTGTTGGGTGTTGGCTGATTCGATGAACAGTGATTCAGTAATCAATCTCCCTCTCTCTCTCTCTCTCCACCTAATTATATTGGAATTAGGTACATTGGCTTTATCCCACCCACCCTATTGTGTGTGGTTGTGTGTTAATGCAGGCATAGCAATAGCCGAGTGCTTTTCTACATTATTGATCTTATTCACGTCTGTCATTCTATATTTAGATAAATTCCTATGTCCGACTATTCTAACTGACCCCGATCGACTAGTTTGACTGACCTGTATACTTGACCTGACTCACAGTCCATTACATGGAATTTGATAGATTAGATTATGTTTTACTTCATTGGTTCTATCGGATGCTTAAACAACTAACCGAAGAAGTTTATCTCTGAGTGAGATTGTAGGTTCGAATGCCACCCTAATTCCAGCTCAGTTGAGGATTCTACGTAAAGTTTCTGAGGTACCCTGCTTATAGGGTAACACAGAATGGAGGTTGTGAACTCCTTGTTTCTCGTGTTGTCGTTACTAGTCGCACTCGTGTGACTTTCGTGTTTTGTGTGTCCGCAAGAATTTCTTAATGAACTGAGGAGGATAATTATTAATTATTAGCACTTCTTTTACGCATTTCAATTCCTTGTTTAGGTTCTTGCTGTGACTAGTCAGTTTTGTAGCTCTATCATTTAGACATTTGACTAATCCTGCCTTCAATGACTGACTGATATGTTGGATGGGATGATTTGAAGTGTAGATACGTGTTGGTTTTCTGTAGAGAGTAGTAGTATCCAAGCCACCGTCTGTTCTTCGTTTTATTCTGCAATCGAACATAGGTAATTCTCCTTGTTCATGTTCTACCTCCTCGTAAGTGAATTGGATTGCGTTTACTACTGAGTTTATATATGTGAGGAAATTGTCGATATGTTCCGATTTCAGCAGTTTAGTGAATGTGTCATCCACATATCGCCACCATATTTTCGGTGTAGGATTAAACGTTTGTAAAGCCATGTTTTTCCAACTATCCATAAATATATCTGCTACGATTGGGGATATTGGCGATCCTATTGCTACTCCTTCTGTTTGTCTACATATTTTGTCCTGAAACTTGAAGACTGTGGAGGTCAGGCATAACTGTATGCCTAATATAATCTCATCAACCGATATCTTAATTCTCTGATTAAGTTCTGAGCCAATATTTAGTTGACTTCTGACTGCCTCCAGTGCCATATTGATTGGTATTTTATTATACAGACTAGTTACATCGAAGCTAACCATTTTTTCATCTTCTTCTATGTGTAGGTTAATAAGCCTAAGTTTTAACTTGTAAGAGTTTACTTGTCTGGAATTTGAACGGTTTCTAATAGGACACAATATTGTAGCTAAGTACTTTGCTAGTTTATGAAGTCAACTATGAGTCTAATGGGATAACCTGGTTTATGAACGTTAATAGCGCCATAAATTTTGCTAGGATTATTAGTTTCAGGCATTAAATAAAGAAATCTAATATGTAATTAACGGAATAGTTGTTTGATGATCGAGTCAGCCGCTACTTCTACGATACATGTAGAATAATACTGAACATCTTTCGACTTAATATTTATTCCCAGTTATCATTAAGAACCATCATGAATTTTGGTGATGTTAAACGATTTTTCTAAAGTGATGTTTACTCAGTGTATCTTACAATTGCCTGAAAAATGTTTCGGTTCATGAAAATATTTTCTTGGACTCTATGGTGTGTGTGTGTGTGTGTGGCATCATGATCCAGTCAATTCTCTTGTGTCATCATCATTATCAACATAGGACCAGGCATTACTGCGTAACGGTCCGAGTTGCCACACCTCATATCAGCACATCAAGTAAAAAGGTAGTGAGGCGAAGGATGAAGATGAGAAAGAGGAGTGACAAAATGGTGAGATTCGGTATAGCGTTGTTAAGATGAGGATAATGTGTGTGGGGAATACATCTGCGCCACTGACATCGGTTCTCACCCATATCACCTAGGGTCTCCAACCACCACTGGTTCCTCTTGTCCCGTGGACCCCAACCACCTAGTCTGTATCGTCCTACATGGCTTAAACCAACAGTCAGAGACTTCATACATTGGTACCATGTTTTAGTCTGGCCACCTTGGGCCTTTCTCCAGCCTGAACCCACCTCAGCCAACATTGTGTGACGAGGCAATCGGTGACTAGGCATACGTAGTACGTGTCCCAACCATCTCAGTCGATGAAGGTTCACAACCTCGTCAGTTGTATTATTTTGTAATTTTTAATGTAAAACATATTCAATACTTTTTTTTCTTTTATTTATACATTTTAGTCCCAGATGTTCCTGTTGCTGGAAAAATTCGTGTCCCTATGGCATCTGAATCAATTGATCCTCGAAATACAGCTGCATCTCAAGAGATATTTGTTAGAGAAGGTGAAAATATCACCTTATTTTGTATTATTCAAAGTGCTCCACCTCAAATGGTTACCACTTATCCATTTGAACAGAATTCAACTGCTCATAATCGATTTCATCGAAATAATTTATTTGGTAAATACTTTTTTATCTATTAAAAAATATTATGGTTTTTATTATTGTTTAGCTATTTCAAGGATTATATATATATAGAGTTAGTAGATGAAGTATCGCTTCTTATTTGTACTGATAATGAAATTTCATCCATATCACACTTTATGAAAGTAGACTGACTGCAGAAGTAACTTCTCATCTTGTTCAACTATGTCTATTAAACTAATCAACGTGAAATTTCTCAAGGAGAAATTCATATGATACTTATGGCTTAAAACACCTCTCATAGCGTATAATTTACAATTTCTTCACATTTAAATACACGTACTTGTCATTTAACAGCTATATGATGAGGCTACATGCCAAGTGATTGACAATGGAAAGCTTAGGGATGCCTTTAAAGTGAAGGCAGGCGTAAGACAAGGTTACCACCTACTATCACCATTCATCTTCCTGATTGTGGTGGACTCGACTCAACTGAACTCAATCATACAAGAAACAACTATGAGGAGTTGTGAGAAGATGGACATCCGCTGGCTGTTTGACCGATGAAAAGACCCTAGAAAAAGATTTGGATTTCATCGATGATAATGTATTATGTCGCACAAACTCGAAGACTTACAGTCGAAAAGTAACAAGTTGGAAGAAGAGATGAGACAGCGAAGACGACACTTCATTCAGGTGAAGGTAGATAAGATAGAGGTGATGAAGATACCCAACACACAACAACAATAACAACAAAAACAAACACGAATCATTATGAATGGGAGAAATTTGAAGGAAGTTGTTTGTTTCACCTACCTAGGAGAGGCACCATCGTCTGAACTACAGATGGTGGAACAGGCATAGTTGACGATGTCTAAGCCAACCATGATCGGAAAAAAAACAGCAAGACAGGCCTTCCTTCATTAATGTGAAATCAATTTGGAGATCTACTTCACTGGACTTCGCTCAGCATACAGTGTGAACAATATCAGGATTTTCAATACTACTTATGTCAGTCAAGTAAGTCAGTGCTTCTATGTGATGATTGAGAGATTTGGTGCTTTACGGAAACTATTTCCAACAAACTACAGACATATATGAACAGCTGACGCCTACGCTCTCTGGATACTGAAGATCAGATGGATGGTCAGAATAATGAGAATAAGCCACGAGGAACTGTTGCCTGTTAGCTAACCAATCAAGAACGCATCGCCCAACAAATATGCAGAATAAGAAGGAATTTGAGATGGATTGTATGGAAGATAATATTGAGGAGAGGGTTTGTGGACATCATGAGACGCGATCCCAGGTCGTCGAATGGAATGGAAAGGGGAAACGATGAGTTGGTTGTCCGAGGTGTGGGTGACATGGGGGGAGATGGTGTGAGGAAGAACTGCGAGCTTGTGTATAGTCGTGGAGGGAGGTTGAAAGGAGTGTAGAGAAGATAGTGAAATGGTGACGTGCTGCTGATGCTCTTTGTTCCACTAAGAATTCACAGAACGAATGATAATTATATTACTTGTCGTATATGCTCCATACATTGATTTGTCACTGATGATCTACCAGTCATATGTAGTTTGATTCCTGAGTACTGACCGAATTCTCCTGTAACCAAATTTATCAATCCGTTCTTGAGGGGAATCATTCGTTATCTGAACAGGTCAGTGGTTGTGTCACTGACCGGAACACTAGTAGATGCGTATTCGAATGTCACAGTTTGTTAGGGATCATTTCCATTGAGATTCGCAGATTTGCCTTTCTGATGGGCGCCAGCAACCATGAAACCTCGATTAAGCATTACTAGCTTCCTGTCACTTATATGTAGGGAAAGTCGCTGAAAAAGTAATTCTTGCGAAATAGTCTCATAGAAGGGTTACCAAATCAAAATTAATAATAGATTATGTAGCTCAGACGTTATACATAACTGTTAGAATAACTTTTCATACTTAAGTAGGTAAATGGATTTGATTGTTTGACTTCTTTCTCACCAATTGACCAAGCGAACCGCTAAACTATAGTTCAAACGAGTTCAGTTTGATAAATTTAATTTTGTGAGAAATAAACAGAATGGTGAAGGAATATAAATAATCCATAGTCTTGTCATTTGCTTCATTTTGGTGCAACTAACCTTACCAGATGTATGCGATGGTGAATAATCACTGCTTCCCTCTTTATATGTTTGTACATAACATCAATGGTTGGGATGACTCATGATCATTTTTAGTGAACTTCAGTCCAATTCTTACAGTCTGATGCTTTCAGTTGTACTAACCAGAGTCTCTGGGGGATTGTTTTCATGGATAGGGCGTATTGTGTGCTGTGCTGTAGTATGACTGACTACGCATGTAGAAGTAACGCCTATCTTCACTGTAAAGGTGATTTATGTTGCATGACTCAGGTAGATTATGGTACGATTTATTAAAGAAGATGATACGTATGTGTACACAAAATATTCATTGAAGTGGAGGTCTCTGCGGAAACTTAAACTTCAATAATTGGAGATTCAAATAACAACAAACTAAGTAAATCACCATAGTTAACATTCAGGCAATATCGAGGCATCTGCATAGGAGCCCCCTATATGCCGACGAAAGTCGAACAATCCGATCCAGTAAAACGACAGAAAATTACAAGTATGTCAATAAATATTTATAACTAATACCCGTTATATAAGAGGTGGGTGTCGTGCCTTTGTTGTCTAGTGGATAACACTTTGACATTCGAAGGTATATGTGTGAATCTCAGTGGGAATATCGCTCGGCACTGGGGTGAAGGGTACATCCAGATGACTTTATGATGATTATTATCATTTGTCCTTTGGGTTCCTAGTGGAACATAGAGCTTCAGTAGCACGCCTCCATTTCACTCTGTTCTCTGTAGTCTTTTCAATCTGGCTCCACGACTCCCCACAAGCTCTCATTTCTTCCACACGCGATCTCCTACATGTCACCTACAGCTGGGACACCCAACTCGCCGTTTCCTATCTGGGTTCCACTTGAGTGCCTGGCTCGTGATGTCATCGAATGGTCTTCTCAGTGTATGCCCAATCCATCTCCACAGTCTTCCAGTGCATACTTGTTGGGCGATAGGTTCTTGCCTCGTTGGTTCATCGCCAGTCAGCCAGAGTTCCTTCTTGCTTATTCTCATTATTCTGGCCATCTGAGCTTCAATAACGAGCCAGGGTAGGCAGTTTTTGATGAATGTCTGTAGTTTGTTCGAAATGTCTTTCGTGACGTGCGAAGGCTCTCAACCATCATACAGAAACACTGACTTGACTGAATTGGTGTTGAAAATCCGGATGTTGTTGACGCTTTATGCTGAGTGCAGTGCAGTGCAGTGCAGAAGATGTTCACACTGATTTCAGGTTAATGAACGCTTGTCTTGCTTTTCTGATCCTGACTGGATTTGACGTCGTCATCTGTGCTTGTGCCACCTGTAGTTGAGACGATGCTGCCTAGTTAGGTGTAGGTGAAAGAGGCTACTTCCTTTAAGTTTCTCCAGCCATTTACAGCTCTAATATCAATAATTATGCCTCTCTCTCTCACACACGCACACGTTCATATATGTTCTACTTTGGTAATTCTATTTTAATTCACCTAATGGGAAAATTTTTTCCTTAGAAATTAGTATCCTCTTTGGATTTATCTTTTTTCCCCTTGAAAAGTTTGATTTCTTTTCAATTAATCAATCGACTATCCAATTATTTTAATGTTTTATTTTCTTATATATGAAAAAAAATTTCCCTTTTTTTTTTTTTAAGGATTATTAGAGATAACAAATGTACATCCAAGTGATGCTGGAATATATATTTGTACAAATCGTCAACTAAGTTCTACAGCTCAATTACGTGTTCGGAGTAAGTTAATTTTCTGCCTTTATCTATACTTTATCTTACTTTGTGCGTGTGTGTTTTTTCCCAATAATGTTTCGGTGGTCTCATAGTTTTGACACTTATATGTTATTTTTTAGATGGTAATAAAATTTATAGGTAAACAAAAGGGGAAGCTAAACATCATCGCCTTTATTGAAGTAGTTTTATTCTCAATATATACATTGTTTCACTAGTCTTGACATTGAGTTCACCAACTTTCTAAAGTGAACCTTAACTGTGTAGATAAAATTATTTAATCTAATGCTTCTGCTCAAACCTAAATAGGATGAAGCGGAGCCCGAACCAGTGACCCAAATCACTAAGCCACACCTTCACATGTACTTCACAGGGATTGATCTATCAGATAAGGATCTATCTTCAATACTTTTAGTAAATAGATGTGAAGGAAGTAGTAACGTCAATCTTATAACCTGTCTCAACGATATGATTAGCGTTCAAAGAACTTGGATGTCTGCTACCAGCGTTTATGGATGATTCAATCTGCTTTTAAAACCACCTTGGAATATACTCCAAGGCCCTTGTTTCGAAGGATCTATGAATCGTCCCTATTAATATATTGACGAAAAGTTATTGAAACGAATATTCTTCCTTCATATTCGACTTTTAATATATACAATGGTTCATAGAGTGTAAATAACTCAGGAACCTTGGAAACCTGGGGTCACTGAACACCTGTTCTTCCTAGCACGAAACTCCTCAGCAGTGCGCACATATGACCCTGTCCCTTTAGGAATCTAACCCACTGGGCCTGCATCCAATAGTCCATACTTTCTACTTGTGTGACAGTATGCTGGTCACGATAGCTGAAGGTCCTGGGTTCGATCCTTGGAGAGCGAAATCATGGGTGCCCACTGCTGATGGGTCCCGCAGTGGTCGAAAGAAACACCTGTCCAGTGCTCCCAAGTTTCTAATGTTCCTCCATAATGTACTCATCTTCTGTCTACTTTCTCTTTAGTGTAATTGCTTCTATTATACCGTCGTTGAATGAACCCAATTGATAGGTCTCTATTAGCATACGGGCTCATGTACGGATACCTTGATATTACCTGTGTTCTAATTACACTGAGTTCGAGTCTTGGTGGGAACAACATCAGTCACTGGGATGCAGGTACATCTATCTAACGAGTCCCAAATAGGACGAAGTTCTCATTCTATATTCCACTGCTAGCCACTATCCATCTGTACTACATCCTCTTTGTTTGTTACTGTGAGACATAGCAATTCGATCCGATTCATTTTTGTGCACAACTCTACATCGATTTATATGTCTGTTTAACTCATTAAACTGTCTTAATTATAATATCTCAGCTTTAAGGAAGTTAATTAGATAGATGAGAATAACTTGTGTATCTTCAGAGAAAGATAAGCAAAACGTAAATCTGTCTTTTTTTTTTTAATTATATTGCATTCCTTTACTGTTTTCCTCTTTTCATTTATCCTTTTAATGTATGCTCACATGATATATTTTCTACCATACTATTTAACAGGACGTTTACGATTGATTATAAAACCACAAGATGTCTTTGTTAATCATTTGGGTGAAACTGTTCAATTCAAATGTACATCTTCTAGTGATCAAATTACACCTTATTGGTTATTCAATGGACAGCCTAAAAGTACAGGGATTGGCAAAAGTTAGTTATTGATTTTTATTTTCGTTTATTTGTATGTTGATTTTGGATATTGGCGATAGATCAGTAGTATTTACCGAGCGTATCAACCTATTTCTTATTAGATATTGGCATAATTTTGAGCTATGGCTTACTGGCAAACATACTGTATTTTCTTCAGCTACTCCTACTATGGTTCAAATATCCAGCCCGGCTGATAACCGGTACCTTGATATAATGGTCGAGCTTTTATAGCACAATGATTCAACGAGCTATACTTGATGGAACGCTTGTTCCCTCGAGGCACTACGATGCCAATAAGGTCTGTTGGATAGTGTATATAGTGTATATTACTACACTATAATGAGGGTCTGAGTGCGATGTCGTGCTGCTGCTAGCTGGATGGATAGAATGTGACAGCAGTAAGGTGTTTCCCTTGGATAACCAGCAGTGCTTCGTTGACGCTGCTTACTCAGTGGAAAGAAGGGAAGGATAGAAAAGGTCGGCCCCAAAGATAACACATTCCACTATGTCCCATGGTCTCCCAGTATCGACGGTATGGGTTTTCTCTATCCTGCGTTAGAACAAGCAAACCTGCAAGCAACGCAAAAAAGACTGTCATACGAATCTTTTCCTCGTCCTGATATCTTGGGAGGAAATAGCCTTCCATGTATGACTCACTGTCCCGTGTAAGAATGCTTATTTGATAGTGGGATTGTATTTGTCTTTAGTTTTCACGTGTTTTTTCTTTTTCTGGTTAAACAAGTATTAGTAAGAGCGTTATTGTTTGTATCACTCACTAGGAGGTAGGTATATCCACCTGACGAGTCTCGAATGGGACGAAACGTACATCCTGGATTCTACTGCTACTCACTACCCATCATCAATATTTATTAGTAAGAGTACATAAATTATCCACCTATTGATAATCTCATCCATCCAGTTAACACACTTTCAGACTTGAATGCTGACGTAACACAGAACTTCAACAATGTATCATCTATCCATCTTCTAATCTTACTGCAAATTTAAAGCATTCCAATTGAGAAAAGTATTCTCCCTTCTTTTACTTCTCCTTATATATTTATGTATGAATTGTTCGGTAAGGAAGTAATCATACAGCTTTACTTTCTATTCTGATTTCAACAGCATACTTTATTTCAACTGCTTTTCATTATCTCTTCATCGTGTATATTTAATTGTCCCTTGGGTTCCTAGTGGAACATAGGGCTTCAGTAGCACGTCTCCACTCCACTCTCTTCCCTGAAATCTTTTCAACCTGGTTCCACGATAGCCTAGAAGCCCTTATTTCTTCCTCACATCATCTCCATGTCACCCTCTCTTCGGACGCTTAACTCATCGCTTCCCATCTGGCTTCCACTCGAGTGCCTGGCGTGGCCTGGAGCGTGATGTCCCCGAATGGTCTTTTCAGTGTACGCCCAATCCATCTCCACATTCTTCCAGTGCATACTTGTTGGGCGATAGGTTCTTGCTTCGTTGGCTCGTTCCCAGAGTTCTTTGTTGCTTATTCTCATTATTCTGGCCATCTGAGCTTCAATAACGGGCCAGGGTAGGCAGTTTTTGATGAATGTCTGTAGTTTGTTCGAAATGTCTTTCGTGACGTGCGAAGGCTCTCAACCATCATACAGAAACACTGACTTGACTGAATTGGTGTTGAAAATCCGGATGTTGTTGACGCTTTATGCTGAGTGCAGTGCAGTGCAGTGCAGAAGATGTTCACACTGATTTCAGGTTAATGAACGCCTGTCTTGCTGTCTTTCTGATCCTGACTGGCTTTGACGTCGTCATCTGTGCTTGTGCCATCTGTAGTTGAAAGGATGGTGCCTAGGTAGGTAGATGAAAGTCGCTATTTCGTTTAAGTTTCTCCCGTTGATGGTGATTGGTGCTTGTTGTTGTTGTTAGTGGTGTTGGTTGGGTATCTTCGTCACCTCTCTTTGTTTTCTCTACATTCACTTGAGGTCCCGTCTTCGCTGACCTGCCTCTTCTGATAACCGTGTATACATAAGATTAGATTTGTTTACATTTATAAATGTTTTATTTTTATGTTGTTGCTTCCCCCCCCTTTCTTACGTGGTAGAATTTTCTTCTATCTAATCATAAAGTAAAGTGATCTATATCTTCTTATAAATCGCGAAACAAGCTTTATTACTTTTCATTTTTCTTATCATGTTATTTGTCTACTTTCTAGTAATTAGTGTATTATTATTATTATGATTATTTTCTAATGAATTGTTTTGTTTATTCACTTCCTTACCTAACACGACATGAATATGTGTATATTAGTAGTCACATTGATAGGTTACAGTTTCATGGGTTGGTAGGTATGTAGGCAGATAAGCAGGTAGGTACCGTCAAGTAATAATAATAATAGGGTAATGAAAATTAATTCACTACATATAAGATAGGATTGTTTACACTCGAGTGTACAGATTCTATGTACTGAAAATATGGTATTATTGAATCAATTAAAATTTAATTGAATTTCTCTCATAGATTATGAGATAAAGTAGCCTTTTTTTCTCATGATTAGTTATGATGATAAGAATTGATGACTACTGTCCCCTCCTCTGGTATGTGGTTTACATCATTGAAAGTGTAAAGTACTTTTATATGAATGGAGCTATCGTGATGTTAGTCTGATTGTTACCTACCTCTTTGATACTATCTACTCTAGACCTATGAATCCTTAACTCTGTGAGCTGAGGGCGTGCGACAACTCTGTGTTTCCGATCATCGTTATCTTCATAGGATTGCTCGTATTTGGTGGCAACGCCATGTTAGTAATTCTAACGTACTAGAGATCACGTAACTCAGTGACTTGAGACATTATCACTGGTAATCATGCTATAGCTTCCTTCTTCTATCCACTTCCTCTTTGTTTGTTATTATTCAGCTATAACAACTCGATCCGATTCACTTTTCTGCATAACTTTACGTTAATTCATCTTTCTTTTCACTGAATTATCATGTCAGTTTGGAGAAAGTTTATTAGTTAGATGGGAATAACATGTGTATCAATAAGTGGAGGAGTTGTCACTTGATAGGACAGGAATACTGACAGATAAATCGATGTAGAACCTTACATAAGAGTGTATCAGTTCAATTTGTCTCATTTCACGAATTGGTATCGTTAGTTCCTATTATTTCTAGCACTTCTATTAGGTAGTCTACATCTCTCTACTTGCTTCAGGCTAACAATTGGAGACTTTATAAACTACTACCAGATTTTAGCTTGGTCATCTGCATTTCAGTATGTTTTACGAATATAAAATGGTAGATTTTTGTAATTCTTTTATTGCGTGTATAATAGTTGTCATGTGTCAGTGTAAATCTATTTCGGTCATATCCATTTGAATAGCTACTTAGTACAATCAAACACACACACTCTCCCCGAATTGGGAAGAGGTGTCACAATTCACTACAGTTTAGTGTATATGATCATTGAATTGTTTTAACTTATCTGTTCTACGTTTAGCGTATTGAATAATTTTTCTCCCAATACAAATGAGTTCTTCGATAAAGTAACTCAACAGTAACCATACGATTTTGTGCTTTATATAAAAAGCTACACATGTTATTGTGATAAATAAAGCATAGTTCTTTCAGTGTTCTATATCTTGTAAACAAAATCATGGTGGTGGAATTGTTTTGAAGATGAATATTAGTCGATATGTCCAAGCGAGTTAGTTATCAGGGGATTTTAATTTCACTCATGATAGATAAGAATCTAGAATAAAAAACGTACTGTTTTTACAGTTCTCTTATGTTGAAACAATCAAAGAGTTATTGACATTTGTGGATATAGTATTCATGATGGACTGACATCAGTTGGGGGACTATTCAAAATCTGGGAGCACTGAACACCTGTTTCATCCTAGTATAGGGACTCCTGAACAGTACACACCCACGATCTAGCTAGGGATCGAACTCAGGACTTTCAGGTTACATGGCGAATGCGTTAAGCATTCAGCCACTAGTTCGGTTTCCAGTGGTTCACAATTTCCAACTTCTGTCACCCAAGGTGTCCAGTTAGCATCCACTTCACTTCCGACTGGTTTAGTTGGCACCACAGGTCACGGCTTCTCATTAGAGCTTCATGATATTCATCTGGAGGACTATACAGTAATGTATTTTTGAGATGAATAGGGATTTTTTAAATTTAGAAGTAGTATTCATCATGGAGTGACGTCAGTTGGGGGGAAGGATCAAAAATCTGGGAGCACTGGACACGTGTTTGGTCGTAGTATGGGGACTTTTTAGCAGTGCGCACCCACGACCCGGCTAGGGATCGAACTCAGGACTTTCAGGTTTCACGGCGTTCGCCATGAAATCTGAACGTCCTCAGTTCCATCCCTAGCCGGGTCGTGGGTACACACTGCTGAGGAGTCCCCATACAACGACCAAACACGTGTCCAGTGCTCCTAGATTTCCACTGGTTTCCCAACTGATATCAGTCGATGATGAAAACTACATCTAAATAAAAATTAAAAAAATCCCCATTGATCTCAAAAATACATTTATGGATATGTTTGTTTTACTGGATCGAATTCTTCGACTTCTATCGGTATATCGGCCTCTGTGAAACGTACGTCCTGGATTCCTATGCTAGCTACAACCAAGTAAATTATCAGAATCAGTGATATTGTATGCCTTTGAATTGGTTCATTGTTTCATTTTTAAGTCTATTGTTGCATTTGTGCTTTCCTCGCTATTTTAAATGGATAAGTCATAGACCTCTAGCCCTTACAAGCCACTTAACTTGTTCTGACATGATATCTGTTGCTTTTCAACTGTATCCTTTCTCTACGGGACTGAGTGGATATACTTTTCCTCCCAGTTTTGTCTATATATTAATTGATTCTATAGAATGAATAAGGTGACTTTATATCTCTCTCATCTTATTTGAATGCGATGTTAATGCTTCTGATGGAGTACTAATCTTATCTTCAAAATTGTCACCCCATCGGGGTCATCAGTGTTAGGTGTCAAGTCTTGAAAGTGCC